TTATTTTTTTAAAGTTTCACTTTTAAATAGTATTTGAACATTGCACACGGTGGGAAAGACACTTACATTGAAAAGCAGCATGGGAAACCACCTTAAATTATATTTAAAATCTATGGGAAATGGTTTCTATACTAAAACACTTGTAAGAGACAATCTTTTCTGCCTTTTTAAAAGTCTCAACTCACTGGAAATGTCAGAACAGGACTTGGGGGTAAATGTTTCTTCCTTCCCAGTTGTGAACTCCCTCAAGAGCGAAGTAAGGGAGAATTTTTTTTTAATTTCTGTGATGTGATCCACTGGATCCTGGATGTGTTTTTCTGAATGTCTCCCCCAAGGCGGCCTATCTTCGGGCGCCTGCAGTACCGAGGCAGCGCCGCGAGGGGGCGCAGTGTTCCAGCGCATGCAAATCCACCTGTCAGCGAGGAAAATCAGCAGCCCACAGTGTTTTCCCCCTAAGGCAGAAACAGAACCTCATTCTTGTCACAGCTGAAAAGTGAAATGCAATGCAGAAGTTACCTAGAATTCGCAAAATATGTTTTATCTTCGTTGTCAGTAACCCCCAGAGGACCGACTTTCACTTTTGTTCTTGCAATTTCCCTGTGAAGAACTGAGCAGCAGCTCGGCGGGGCCAGTCCCTCAGGCAAGCGCAGGGTCGTTTCCGCGTTCGTTGCCGGGCACCCTCATCCGCGGCTGCTGCTTTCTTAGTCTGGGCTTCCTAATACAGGTAAGCAATCCAGGGCTTCTCCGGGGAACCCGGGCGAGAGAAGACGAAGGAGATGCAGAGGGAAGCCCGGGACCAGTGAGGGGCACCAGGGTTCCCCACCCCACCCCACTGCAGCTGCAGGCTGTGCAGGGGGACTGAGGGGATCAGAGCCCTCCTGGGTCGCCGGCAGCCCCCTGCCCATCCCGAGGGACCAGCTTCCCCCTGACACTGGCCCAGCTTCACCCTAGTTAGTCCGACAAGCTCCTCTCCTGAATGTGTCAGCTCTGATCTGCAGGGGCCAGCCCTGGAGACGTCTCCGCCTCGTCCTCCCACAATCGAGCTCGAAGCAAGTGTGGAGGGGCCGGGACCCAGGGCTGTGGTTAGAGCATCAGACCAGGACCCCGAGGCATGGACCGCACCCTCGGGCGCTTCTTCCTTCCTCATGGAACAAGGAATATAGAAAAGCAGATGGCCAAAAATATAAGTTTAAAGCTTTTAAATTCAGGACTTGTATGTGTAACAGAAGCATCATAAGGAAAAGAGACACTAAATGCTGCATTTAATAACCATTAACAAAATTATAAATAATTCCTGATTATTTAAAGAGACTTCATCTCAGCTGACACTTTCAAACATTTACAAAACCCAAGGGGGATTTAGCTTTTGTATGGGTAGTACAAATCCTGTTTCTTTTGTCCAGTACTGGAGATTGAACCTGGAGCCTTCACTCTGTATCACATCTTTAGCTCATTTTTTTCAGTTTTTATTTTGAGGCAGGGTCTCACTAAAGCCACTAAGTTGCCCAGGCTGGGCTCCAACTTGCGATCCGCCTGCTTCGGCCTCCTTGAGTGATGAGATGACCAGCATGTGCCACCACACAAGTCAGGGGGTGAAAGGGTCCTAAAATTCAGGATGGGCATTTTTTCTGGAGCGTAGCGGAATCTCAGCGTTGTTTTAATTTGCATTTCTCTAGTGGCCAATGATGTTGGACATTTTTTCATGTATTTATTGACCATTTGTACTTCTGAGAAGTGTCTATTTTTGTTGCCCTTTTTTGGGGATGTGTCTTTTAACCCAAAGGGTCTAATTTTTTGAATTCTTTATGTATTCCTGATGTTAGTCCTCTGTCTGTGGAACAGCTGGTAAAAACAATCTCCCATTCTGTGGGTCATCTCTTCACTCTGTTGCTTGTTTCTTTTGCTGTGCAGAAGCTTCTTAATTTGATATGATCCCATTTAGCAAATGGGAAGGAAACCAAGACACAGAAAGAGCAGGGAGAGAGGGGAGGGAAAGGGATGAAGAAAGAATAAAGACGCGTGGTGCACGCATGCCAACTTCCCAAGAGGAATGTAATCATTACGTACCCCAAACATGGACTAATAAAAACGGACGTGAGCAAAGAGCGTGGATCCACACCTGTGGAAACACAAGAGCCGGACTCAGGGTCCTGCGACCCCACATCAGCTTGCAAGGGGTGGACACAGAGGGGAAGTGGCTGCCACGCCTGGTCTGTCCCTAGCAGAAGTTCTCTGAACAAAATCCGCCCTCCCTGGGCGGCAGCCGATCATGAGCACCGAGCAGCTAAAGCATTTACTGAATTCTTCTGAGGCTGACAAAACCAGGCAGCGAAGAGTCCTTGGGATCAGGCACAGGAGTCTGAGTCTCCGACCCTCAGAATCGCAAGCCTTTCCGGTCAGAGAAAACCGTGGTAAGTAAATGTGTGGAACTGGAAGGAGCAGCGCCTTCTCTTCTCACTGAGGAGCTGCTGTCTCTCAGGATGCAGAATGAAAACAACTCCATTTACTACGTTTTGTTAAAGGGAGGTGTTCCAGCGGCGAAGGATCAACGTCCTAGATGACGCCTCTGCGGGGAGTGGGCTGGGGTCTCTGCATATCACCCTGCACCCCTGGGGGAGCCCGGTGCCTCACGCCTGCCACCCATGGCTCAGCCCCTGGGCCAGGGGCTAGGCAGCGGGCCTGCTTCTCTTTGGGGTTGCATCTGCTCCTCTCTGAGAACAGGAGACACCTCGTTCCCTGTGGGCTAGAGGGGATGAGAGAGAGCCTGCCCCTGCTCACGGGGAAAAGCTGGGCCCATCCGTCCCTGTGAGTCCTCTAAGGACTGAGCTGGTGCCCAGCAGGGGCAGCAGGGCGTCTGTCACTCCGGCCCAGAGTCCACTGGTCAGGGACACTGGTCCTCCGGGTGGAGGGCACCGTGGAAGAGAAAACTGCTGTAGAACCCGACCCTCCAGCTCCCAGCAGCCCGGGGCGCATGGCCAGGGGCTCAGGCCCACAGTTCAGAGCAGCTTCGTCCTGAGGGACGGGAGCCCCGGAAGGGACAGCGAGGGACACCAGGCTGGCAGGGCTCATCGAGGCAGGGCTCCCGGGGGCCGCCTCCACTCTCCACACCTCCCCTCTGCTGCTCTCCTCAGTAACAGTCCTGATGACGAAGAAAGGGCTTCCAGAGAGCTGGAAAGTAGCTAAGAGTACATGCTGGCACCAGGTGTCTTTGGTTTCCCGGGGTCCACACAGTGTCCGGGGAAGGCAGCGATCCCCCGAGTGGGCTGATCCAGACACCGGGCCACAGGAGGAGAGCTGCCAACCACAGCCTTCACTCCATGCATCCACTCCAAAAGCCTGGCCTCAGGCTGGGTGTGGGGTACACACCTGTCACCCCAGTGCTCCAGGAGGCTGAGGCAGGACGGTTACAATGGCAAGAACAGCCCAACAACTTTCCGACTTAGCCAGATCCTGTCTCGGAGTTGAAAAACATAGAAGAGAGCTGTGGCTGGGGCTTGGTGTGAAGGCCCCACTGACAGCCCTGGTGGGACACGCAGGACACGCGCCTGTGCCCAGAGTCCTCATGCCAGTCCGGGCCCAGCCGCAGATTCCGACTGAGCCCCAGTCCGAAGGGAAGGTCTTTGAGTCCAGGAGCAATGCCCGGTGCTCTCTGTGGAGGTCAGATAGGTGAATACGTTGCACCTCCTGTGTGCTGAACTTCTCCTCGGAACTCAAGAAGACAACCATAAGCCTCCTTCCACCTTCTTTCTCCCTCCCCTTCCCTTTTCGCTCCCCCCAGCAGAGACACCACAGGAGCAATGGGTCCAGCATCGAATCTGAAATGACCACTGTCTCCCTGGTCCTGCCCATGCCTTGAGCCACTCCCTGACCTGCCACCTTCAGGGGGCAGCACTGAGCTACATCCCCAGTCCCTCTTTAAAATTTTTATTTTAATTTTGAGACAGCATCTTGCTAAATTGCCGAGTTTCCCAGCCTGCCTTAAACTTGCAGTCCTCCTGTCTCCGCCCGGCAGAGTCCTGGGATGTCAGGTGTGCACCATCATGTGCTGCTGGGGCTGTCTCCTGATGGATTTATCCCTTTAGAACAGTGAGGCCAATGGATAAGTGATCCAGGAATAATTTGATAAATTTCACATTGAATACCCAAACACGCCCCTCTGCTTTAGAGGTGTTTGGTAAAGTCTGGTATACCAAGGGTGTTCTCATGTTTCTCCACACTCATAACCATGCTTAGCCTTACAAGTGGAAAACTATCCGTGCTGCGATTCCGCCCACAGGGTTGGAGGCTGCTGTGTATTTCGGCCTTCAATGGAATAAGAAGAAGCCTGGTGGTGGCCACACCACTGTGGCAAGGGATCTCACTGTCCTCATCACGTGTCTTCAAAGCCAGGCTGCCCTGTCCTCCCTCTCTTCCTGTGTCTAAACTACGCAGTGCTTAGAAATACACAGAAAGCGAGTGCTGCTGTTAGTCCTTTGTGGAAAGAAGGAAACACTGTTAATGGGAAATAATCAGACTGTTCCTGAGCTTACTGCAACCCATACGCACACATCTGCACACACACACCTGCACACACAACCACACAATAACGCAGGCAAATGTCTCTCTGTGCTCTTACGTTTATTTAAGACAACGTAGCATTCTCAGAAAAGATACCGGGACACAAACTTGCTCCTAGTTTGGAGCAGCACATTCTCGCCTTCTTCATGGCCTGGTCTGCAATGCATATTGTGTACTAGCTCAGTAAAGCGGGCAGATGCCCCTCCTGCCGGTCGGCGTGAGTTGTGCAGTGATGCTAACACTTTGCCCCCGGAATCACAGAGCTCAGACTGGGACTCGGGGTCCTGCAGACAGCCTGGCACTGAACTATGCCCAGATCCGTCTGGGGATCCGGGCTCCCACCCGGGCCTGAGCGAAGTTGCTAGCTGCATCTTCAGGATGCAGGAGTGAGGTGGGCGACCACACACAACGCAGACCCCAGAGAGCCCCGGTGCGGCCGTTACCTGTGCAGATGAAGCTGGAGAGGCCCCCGTAGATGACCTCGTCGTTGTCGGGCAGGATGAACGGACACCGCGTCTGCACCTCCAAACAATATTGCTTGCAAGGAATTGTCTTTCTGCAGTTAAACTGCGTGACTTCAAAGTACTGGGAACAGAGCCAGGCCTTGTAGACGATCTGGAAGTTGAAACACAAGAGAGGAGAGAAGAATCAGACATGTGGAGAGAGGACAACGGTTCTACCCGCGAGGGAGGCCGGCAGCTGCTGGGGTTTCGAGCTGGGCCAAAGCAAACCCCGCTGTGAGATAGCATTGCGGAGGAGCTGCAAGCGACAGAGGGGGGCCCAGGCCTGCTGATCAGGCACCTACAGAATGCAGGAGACAGCCTGGCGTCTCCCTTGGTGGAGCTCATGGCAGAAAGCAGCGGACCTAAGCAGGGCCGGAAGCTGCCTAACCAGGGAGATGGAGGTGAAAGTCACCGTGACCCTTGCACAGACTTGTCATTCACTGCAGGGGAAGAAGGCTCCCGAGTTTCCAGGCCACAGCTGCAGTGACGCACCAGGGACACTAGAGGGCGCCAGGTCCTTTACGACGGGGCCGAGTCCGCCTCTCCAGAGAGAGAAACAAGAACCAAGCTTGCACAAGGATGACTCCCAGCAAAGGCCCTGGAAACCGCACCCAAGGCCCAGGAACACCAGCAGAGATCAGACAGCCTGCTGTGCTGCGCTGACTGTGCAGCGGCTGGAGACCCGCACTCGGGGCCTGGCCTCCGCCTTCCAGGCCTGTGCTCTCCACGGGCAGTGTCAGGGTTACAGAAAGGCAGCCTCTGGGAGTCAGCACGGAGGCCGCAAGATAAAGAAATGGCCCAGCCCAGTCTACATTCCGAGAAAGTGGCGACAGGAGTCTGCAGCATGGATCACTGGCGGCCAGCGATCTCTTTGCTCCGCGTGCTGTGAAGGCTTTGGCTCCTGGGTCAGTGGGGTTCAGAGAAGCCCTGTCCGTTATGCTCATCTCCTTAGGCATGCACCGAGAGGCCTGAGCACTGGCAGTAATCGCCAGAATCACACCTGGGTGTAACGCACTTCGGGTCCTCTGAAGCGTTTTCCATGCGGTGCCCAACATTTGCCTAGTCCTCAACTCTTAGTGACACTCGGCCCAGGAATCGTAAGTACTGGAAATTAGTGGAAAGTCCAGAATTTGAACCCATGATCTGCAGAATCACAAAGCCCGTGTTCTTAATAGTTCCCGAATGGCTAGTCTACAACTCCTTCCAAGAATATGGACTCGCAAGGAGCTCTGGATGCATCTGCAGATCACACGGAACTGTACACCTTGGTCAAAGTCTACTGATATATGGGGGCATGTATTAAATTTTATTAACTTCTTGTTGGTTTCATCAAAACGAAGGCTTATCCTTGGATCAAGGTGCCTCCAGTGAGGTAAAACGGTGTAAATGTGAAATTCAGATGTAATTTTAGAGAGCCAATATGATTTTTTTGCTAAGTAATCACTCATACAGTTATATATACATACTGTTCTTATAGGTCTTTGGGATGGTCTTCACCTAAAAGTGCACACTGAGAAATTGCATCAGAACATAAAGGTTACAGTAGCCATGGAAACACTAATGATTCCTGTATTTGACCTGGAAGAGGTGGGCTGTGGGTCTGCACCATGCAGCCCTAGGTAGCTGTGGTGGTGGCTCTGCCACTCCATCAGAAAGAGGCTGAAAGCAGCAGGTAGAAGTGAAAGGAAGACGGTGACCAGCTTAGCGACCAGCATAGACAGGTGGGCGGAGAGAGAGGTCCCTGGCCCCCTGGAGCCCCACTCCGTCCAACCCAGGCCATGTCTGCCGGTGACCGGCCGGAAGGTGAGGACCCCTTGCCACTTGCCATGCTCACAGCGACCAGCTTAGTGACCAGCTTAGCCAGGCGTGCGCCTGCAAACTCCTCCCACACCCTGCGGCTCTGGCCTCCTGCCTCTGCTGCTACCTGGTTCTACTCTACAAAGGCACAGCGGGGCATAAAGGGCCTTGTCCTGAGCTCCAGAGGATAGAGGAGAAATGAACAGCAGATACAGGCCCTCTCTCAGGTTCCTTGATGAAAACTGAAGCCCACTGGAAAAGTGAAGAGAATCTCTGCAATAAAGGGACACCAGACCACCTTACTTGGTGAGTTGGAGGGATCATCACCTCCCATTGGAACCTGGACTATCTTCAGGGGAAAGGCAGCTGGAATCTGCAACAGAACCTTGTAGAGTTCAACCCTGCAGAAGGATAGGGAGCTCAACTTGGGACTAGCAGCCAGAAATCTGCCTGAATTTCACAGGTCTGTGACTGGCTTGCTGAGACTCATTGACTTGTATCTGCACACGGCTGCCCAAGTTGTCTATTGTGACAGCAGAGGCATACCCTGAAGGAGGCCCTTCATTTTTATTTTTTGTCATTTTCAAAATTATTTTTTTGCTATTTTTAATTTTTACTTTTTTTCTTTTTCTACTCTTTTCAAGTTTTTACTTTTCTTTTTTCTTTCTTTTCTCTTTCCTTTTTCTCTCTCACTCTCTTGCTGTCCTACATTTTTCTTCATCTCCCTTTTTGTTCCTGTTCTGGACCTAATTCAGATTTCTTCTTTATTTTTCTTTTCTCCTCTTTTTCCTTCTCTCACCTGTGTCCTCTGGCTGCACTGTTAACCTTCCACTAAATTTCTACCTATCTTTCCCTCCCTCTCCAACTCCTAACTCCCCATCCCGAACAGAAAGTTGCTATATTGAAGAGTTTATTCACTATAAACATAAGTTGGGTTGGTCCTCAATTTTGATTTAATTCACACAGTTAAAAGTGATAGATTAATAACTACCACAAATTGTCATTTTCTAAGATGTACTTGATGCTATGGTGTTGCTCATTGTATCACTTGGGCTAAGGTGTTGTGATTGATCTAATCAGTTGTCCTTCCTGGTATAGTGAAAATGAGACAGACTCAGTCATTAGAGACTAAAAATGTAAAGCCCAGCTATATCTGGAAGACACTTCTGAGAAGCAATCATTTCATAAGGGTTCTAAACACAGGCGACAAAGATACTTACAATAAGCAATTTCAAAGTATCAACCCAGGAATTAAACCAAGGACAGTACCAAAAACAAAAATGAGAAGACATTTAAGCAAGGCACAAACTCAGACTTCCACCCCACAAAAAGCAAATCCTGGGGAAAATGAGGTGGAAAAGTCTGATAATCAACCACCTGGATACCCTGAACTGATAACACAGGAAGTAACAAGACAGATGAATGAGGCCCTAGAAAAATTCAAAACAGAAATAATTTCCCAGATAACTACAGAGATGGTGAGCAGAGTGAAAGACATGATTAGAGAATCTAGAACAGAAACAGATAAAAAAATAGATGAGCTCAGAAACATACTGGAAGCCATGAATGCCCAGCATAAGAAAGAAATGGAAACCATGAAACAGATTCAAACAGATATCCAAGAGATTAAAAACTCCAATGAAAGTATGCACAGCCGATTAAAGGAATGTGAAGATAAAATGTCAGATATAGAAGACAGGATTGTGGTTAATGACCATGAAAACAGATATTTCTTAAAAATAGTAAGGGACCATGAGAAATGAATCCAGCAGCTGCTAGATGATGCAAAGAAGAATAACGTAAGACTGATAGGAGTCCACGAAAAAGCAGGAGAAAGTACAATTGACGTTAAAAAAAACCTGTTCACAGAAGTAATAGTGGAAAACGTCCCAGACAGAGGAGGAGAATTGGACATACAGATAAGTGAGGCATATAGAACTCCAATTAGGCATGATCAAAAAAATATCTACACCTAGACATATAATAGTCAAGATCCCAGAAACCCAACAGAAGAACAAAATCCTATAAGCAGTTAGAGAAAAGAAACAAATCACCTACAAAGGAAAGTCCATCAGAATCACAGCAGACTTCTCAACACAAACCCTCAAGTCAGGGAGAGCCTGGAGTGAAGTATTTCAAGCCCTAAAAGAAAATAACTTTCAACCTAGACTGTTGTATCCTGCAAAATTATCTTTCATAATCGATGGGGTAAATTAAACATTTCCATGACGAAGAACACCTGAGAAACTTCATGAACACCAAACCAGCACTCCAAACAATTCTAAACAATATCCTAGAAACAGACAATGAAGGTCACAACTCCATGAGGCTCAACAGAGGGAAGCCACCAGGCAAGGGAAGAAACTAAACAGAAAGGGGGGGAAATAAAGCATAAAAGAGCCAACAACAGTAAAACATCATGACAAGGATGAGCCAATATCTATCAATTATAACCATCAATGTTAATGGCCTCAATTCACCAATCAAAAGAAATAGGCTGGCAGAATGGATTAAGAAGCAAAATCCAACAATATGCTGTATACAAGAAAAACACCTAACTCAAAAAGAAACTCATAGACTGAAAGTAAAAGGATGGAAAAGAGTTCTCCACACCACAGGACCACAGAAAAAAGCAGGGGTAGCAATCTTATTTGCAGACAAAGTAGACTTCAAACCAAAACTAATTAAGAGAGACAAAGATGGTCATTACATCCTTGTGAAGGGAACAATCTAAGAGGAAGAAATGACAATCATAAATATATATGCACCAAATATGAATGTCCCCAAATATACAAAACAAATATTAATGGACATGAAAAACCAAATAAACACTAATACACTTGTAGTGGGGGACCTCAATACACCAATATCACAAACAGGCAGATCATCTAGACAAAAATTCTAGAACTGAACCAAGCTATTGAACAAATGGACTTAATAGATGTTTACAGAGTGTTCCACCCCACAAAATTAGAATACACATTCTTTTCAGCCGTACACAGGTCATTCTCCAAAACAGACCACATGCAAACCCATAGGGAATGTTTAAGTAAATGTAAAAGAATTGAAGTTAACCCCTGTATATTATCAGACCATAGTGCAAGAAAATTGAATATCAATAGCATAAGAAACCAAAAAAACCCCACAAGCACATGGAAATTGAGTAACACCCTCCTGAACAACCAATGGGTCACAGAGGAAATTAAAGAAGAAATTAGACAGTTTCAACAAGTAAATGATAATGCCAGTACAGCATATAGGAATCTATGTGACACCATGAAAGCAGTTATACACAGGAAATTCATAACAGTGAAA